TTCAGCAAGCCTTCCCTGATTGGCTCTCCCAATCAGCCTTTTGTCCTCTATGCAACCTTCCTAGGGTTCTGTTACCCCCAGCGCCCTACGTGCCACTAATCCCTACCACAGGGTACTTAATCAGCCACACTGGAATTTGAAAGCCAACATTCCCTAGGTAGAGACTTGCTGAGCTATGACTGGAGTTCTCAGTTCTGGGACATTCAAAAAAAGTAGGGCTATGTCTACACTCACGGCTCCTTGCGCAAGTAATATGCAAATGAGGCTAAGCGTGGAATATCGCCGAGCCTCATTTGCATGCCTAATGAGCCACCGTTTTTTTCAGAAGAGGCTCTTGTGCAAGAAGGAGCGTCTACACTGCCCCTTCTTGCGCAAGAAAAAAGTCTTGCGCAATGCCGTTCTTCCTGCAAAGTAATAGGTGTAACGGTGTTGCGCAAGAGGGTTTTTCTTGCGCAAGAAGGGGCAGTGTAGATGCTCCTTCTTGCGCAAGAGCCTCTTCTGAAAAAAACGGTGGCTCATTAAGTATGCAAATGAGGCTCAGCGATATTCCACGCTTAGACTCATTTGCATATTACTTGCGCAAGAAGCCGCGAGTGTAGACATAATCTAGGTGTTTTCATTAATGTTTTTATGAGAGAGACAGCTGATGCTAATAAATAATGTTCATCTCTGTTAACTGTCCTGGTCCTATTATCAATTAAACAGAAAGAGTCACACATACAAATTTTATTTTTTTTTTTGGTAGCAGATCTTCAGATACAGGCAGATGCAGAAGAAGAATTAAACATAAGAACACAGATGAGATATGAACAGCAATGAGACACAGGAAAAGCTTGAGAAACTTTTACACACATTCCAGTGAAAACCTCCCCTACCAAAGGAGAGGAGAGGGAAAGGGACTGATCTACCATAAGACAACGTGGCTGTGGGGGAAAAACATGTTAACAGCCTCTCATGTGAATGAAGGATAGTACAATGGGAAGTGACTGTCTAGGAAGGAGTACTGCACAAAGGCATCTAGAGGTCATAGTGGACCACCAGCTAAATATGAGTCAACAGTGTCACACTGTTTCACAAAAAGCAAACATGATTTTGGGATGATTATCTAGTCTGAATCCTGCATATAACAAGCTACAGAACTTCACCCATGCACTCCTGTAATGAACCCCTAACTTTTGATTAAGTTACTGAAGTCATCAAGTCACAGTTTAAAGACTTCATGTTACAAAGACTCTACCGTTTACATTAGTTTTATCCTAAAGTGACCAGAGTCCCATGCTGTGGGGGTAGGTGGAAAAAAACCCACAATCCATGCCAATTTGACCTGCCCATCAGGGTACAGCTACTGTACAAAGGTCCGGATTGTGTAAGCACAAATGGCAAAGGGACATCAAGGCATTTCCCTCCCATTGTACATTGATTAGAGGTGAGACAAGAGCATTTCTGTGGCTTGAGGCCTAGTAGGCATCAGGGGACGGAGGCTTTTCTCTGTGTCCAAGAGTGATCAGTGTCTAAGTTCCCAATGACTCATGTTGGCATCATAATGTAAAGCCTCAACTGGTTCAACAATGAAAATACAGAAAAAGTCTTGTTAGGAAATAATAGAGTATAGAGGAAAGGATCTTAGCCTCTGCAGATTGTGGCAGGAAAGAGGGAAACAAAATGGAGAGAAAAGTGACAAGTGTAAGGCCTAGTGAGCAATTGACACCGAGTGGTGCCTGGATGTTTGATGCATAGCAGAGTGAGAGGAGGAGGGCTGGCTCTCTATGAGCTGTGAATATGAGAGGCAGCTGAGGAGGAGAGGAGGTGGACTATGTGTGGGTAATTGTCATGATGTGGTATATGTGAGTGACTTATAGCCAGAAAAGGAATTCAGATAGCAATTTAAATGTTACAGTCAGGGACACATTGTGCTACCAGGAAATGCAGAACCAGGAGCTCCAGTCATTGGCAGATGACATGATATGATGATAATGTTCTCAGTGACTTTTGATAGTTGTTCCCTAGCCAGCTGCTTCCAAACAATGGTGTGAACCAGCATGCAGCTGCAGTGCTTCTGTGAAACATTCTGCATCCAGTCCAATGCCAATACCTACATCCTGTCACACAGCAGCAATTCTGGGTCAGCCTTAGTTCTGAATTCACTAACCTTCATACTGTTAAAATGTCAATCTTAACATTTCTTGAAGGTAGTTCTTGGCATAGTATGATTGGGTAAAGTATAGAATTCAGTGATTCCCACTTGTATCCATAATGATAAATTAACAACAGAATTAGCCGTGAGCAAACAAAATGCATTCTATTGCATTAACCTCTGTAAGGCTGATTTTCACCACAAAAATGCCACCAGCTCAATCACTCCTCTTCCCAGTTGAGAATTTTAAACTTTTGGGAAACAGGGGTGAAATAGTGGACACAGTATTGTCAGTGACAGAACTCTCATCAACTGGATCAGGATTGCACTTCAGATTTCCAGCCAGAGCATTCACTTGGTGACACAGGCAGAAGGCTTTCTGTGTGGAATTTTGATAGCAAGCTAAGGTAGCAACAAACAGATTACTAATGAAGACTCAAAAACAAAGAGGAGATTATGGCATCACTACAGATTATTTCACAGAACTGCAAAGAACATATCTCAGAAAATCTAGACACAGCTATCGGAGGGCAAATTAAAACAACTCCACTTGTCGTTAAATCCATTTAAGAATAGTTGTGTGGCTCAGTTCCCTCTATGTAAGAGTTTTGGAGCATGTTGGAACCACAATTATCTGGATTCCTTATCAACCCTCCTGCAAACCTCAGCATTCTAGATGGCACTTTTATTTTAGTTAATTTTTTTTATTGTGCCCCCTCTATACCATCTCTGGACACATGCATCAATTCAAACAACCAAGTCTAACAAATGGTAGCAAAGTTAAACCAGATTCTCCACATAGTAGATCAAAGTATAAATAAATGCCTTCACCTGCCTCGGGCAAATGTGGGAAAATAGGTGGGTTTAGCTGTGGGCCTTGATGATTAACAGTATCTGGGAGAAAAATGTGGGAAGCGAGTTCCAGAGCTGATTGTTCTCCATTGAGTGAATCTTGCCATCAACCTCCAGACAAATTCACATGAAAAGACTCAAAATATGAATCATCTTATCTCAGCTGCCACAAAAATATATATGTAGAGAGTCAGGATAGCAAGGTTTCAAAATATACAGGCGTTCACAGCTCTTTGTCAATCTACACTGCAGGTTAAATAGAAAGGCTCTTGTCTGAGTTGACGAGTGAAGAGTTAATTGAGTTACCAACTAAAAATTACAATCAGTTACTGAAAAAAGACTCACCTAGTAAGAGTTACATGGGCCTATTCCATGTTCCTGCCAGAGGCCATAGAATGCAAGTCACACTGTTAATGTGAGTGCTGTTAATCCTGTATATATTTAGAACAGTCACTATCCCATTGGCATGGGTCTCCAGCTGGGACCCAGGAGATCTGTACAGGTGCTTTGTCCCCAGAAATCCCACTGCTGCCAAGAGTCAGGGTCACCTTACAATAGACTGGATGAAAGGGTAAGAGAGGAAATAATCAAGTCAGTTTTCTGTCCCGGGAAAAGCACTATGTCAATGTCTTGTGTAAATCAATCACAGCAGGAAGGTGTGGGGGGTAATGAATGTGAGAGGAGTGGAGTCAGGCAAATGGGATGAAGGAATTATTCCAAAAAATGTTATATTCATATCATAGATGACTAGGGGCTTGTATGCAGGATGAGTAAAAACCTCAGCTGAGGAGTCCCCCATCTGGATGAGATATTACCTTAGCACATGGAGTCCATACACAGATGCCTGTTCCTCTTCTTCAGTAATATAAGAAGCCAAGAACAAAAAGAACAAATAAAACATTTTCTACATTATGTATGAACAGTTCCAATTTATGGATCCAATCCAAAATCGCCTCAAATACATAGGAGTCTCACAATTTATTTTGAAAGTCATTGGAAAAGGTCTAAAGTGAACAAATTCACAAATTGTATCCATAATCTCTAGTTTAGCTCTCACCACAAGACAAAGATATGCATAAAAAAAGAAACAATATCCATTAAATTTATCAAGAGGGAGATCAGTCTATAAATACTTCTGATAAATTCCTTACATTGATTAGAAATACTTCCTGAGAGATGTCTATCAGTGGCAAAAAAATCCCTACAAAATTACATTTAGTAAGCAGTAAAAATGAATAAATGAGCTGATCTACGATCATTTTTACTCCTACAAAAATATTATCAAAATATCATAACCATTTCTGTTACTCTTATTAAGTATCGTTTTTGTATTGTAAGGGTCTCTTTTGTCGACACTTCAGATAAACCAAAAAAGATTTAAAGACATAAGAGTTCACAGTTAAGATCAAACTAACTTTCGAGAATGGACTCTGACTGAACAGTAAGCCTTAGCATATTTTGAAAACTGGTGTAGGAGATAACTTGTGGATAATACATTTCTAAACCCTGAAACAAATAAATATGTCTAGAAAAAGGCATAAATAATGATTAACCTTCATGTGTTGAGACAGTTATAAAGGTGCAGTAGAACAGGGAACCTTGGAAAGAGCCTAAGAAAAAAAGAATGTGTCCCAAAAATAGGAAATAGAAAAGGATCAGAATGATACATGATAATGGTGACAAGGGTACAATTACCATACAAGGGCATGAAGAAGTAAAACCATGTGCAATCTGGATTCAGGATGTCAATGAACTACTGTATAGAGAAAGGTCTTCCACTGCTGTTGGTGACTGTATGCCTCCCTGTATATGTGAATTTTTTACTGTTAATCAATAAATCCAATCGCAGTTGATTTCTCCAAAATTGGTTATCATTAAATTAATCCATATTTGATAGAACCCCTCTCAAAGAATATAATCCCAGTTACATTTTAATCAGTTATCAATTATTAATCAATTGATAATTGATTGACACATTTGATTGGCAATCAATTATAAATACTGCATTGTTTGCTTACATCAGCTTTATTGAAATAAATGCCTCAATGTTGGTACAGATCATTATATATTATATGCACATAAATATAATCATTATTTTAGCATCGAGCTAAAATTGCCTTGAATGTAACATCTGAAACAATGCTGCTGCCATATTAATACTCTGTATGTTGCATGCTTCCAATTGGCATTGAAACCTGCATATGCTCCACTCCGTTGTCTGGCCCCAGGGTGGCAGCAGGCCATCCATGAGGAGCTAGAATACCACCCAGTTCAGTAGCCAGTATCTCACCGTGAGTGAGTGCCAAAACACTGACAACCAACTGAAACTTTATTTTCTAGTCCCAACCCATAATGTGGGTCAGAGATCCAAATGCAAATACCCCTTTCGCACTAGGGTTCATTATCAACCTACTGTAGTGACTACCACGACATCTGGTCTTGCTTTCGACAAAATAAAAATATACACAAAAAATACTAAAAATAACCACAAATGAATGACAAATACTGCCCCTGAATCTTGAGTTCTTCCTGGTCAGTGAGTTGGTTGCTCTCAAAAGCAGTTTTCTTAGCAGTGGCAAGGTAGCTGAGCCATGCACAGAAGCTGGGGCTCTCAGAGCTTTTAGGGCTCCACGTTACACAAAAGGAGACACCTCTGGGCTTCCCTCGGCTATCCCCTTCTGCAGGCAGGTGGCCATTTACTTTTTTTTTTTTTTTTTTGAGAAACTGAAAAGAAACATTCTGTTTTTTCCAAGCTGAAAATATTTCAGTTTCCTATCCATGGGTCATTTTGGAATTTCTACATATCATTCCAAATCAGAATGGAACTGGATCCTGCAGAATGGAAATACTAAGTTTCCACCAGCTTTAGTTATGACAAAGTCTGTTCTTGAGAGATTTTCGTCCCAGTATTAAACAACATGTATGTCCACATACCAAGATGCACAAAAGGCTGCACAAGAATGTGAAGGAGCACGTTTCTCCCTTTCTGCCCCTGCACAGGCTGCCCACAACCTGGCCCTTTGTATTTTTTTATGTTGCTCAGTGTTGAAGTCTTAACACAAATATCTGTGCACTGCATGTCCATACATTTCTAAGTAGTCAAAGAGGTTTGGGTACAGATTCACAGTTTTTAGATGTTAACTTGAACTAAAAACTTTTCAACATTGCCCATCACTCAGTTCCATTTCCATACCAAGTTCAAGTGCATTTGTTTGGCATCTGTCATGACATATGCAAAGTCTATACAACTCAGAAAAAATTAAAAAGTCAGAGGATAGAAGTTAAATCAGCTGCTACCAGTCCCATGTTTTAATTCTGAATGTAAAGCATTATTTCTGTGTAGTAAAACATCTTTTAATTCTGTCAGCTAAAGAATTCTGCAATGTGTGGCTACCTCTCCCTAGGATTTTGGAGTGTATTAGTTTCAGTTTGACTGTCAAAATGCAAGTTCAATGTTTTCACAAGATCTCATTTTGCATGCCCAAAGCTCCAGTTCCCACATGAAATTTTTATGTAAGTTTCTGAAGCTTAGGCCTTCAAATTTCAGTCATTAAAAAGGTATTTACTATTTATGGATCTCCAGAGAGGGAGAAAATTTACATGTTGATTCCCACTGATCTTTCTACCTCCATTTTCCTGAGCGATATAGACAATAAGAACTCCTCCAATTATGAAAACCAGCCACATAAAAATAATTAAGCGCTGAGAGGAATCCGCGATAGGTGGAGCAAAGCCAAGTCTTCCAAGACAAACAGGCCTGAACTTTTGGAACTGGTATATTCGTGTGCTGCGGGACTTCTAGCTCTGCATAAGAACAGTCCCAGGATTTGTTAGATATTCTTGATAGAGTCAGTGGCTGAACTAAAGCTAGACTCTTTGCCTTTGTGTTTTTACAGAATTAACATTTGTATACATGCGTTGTACACTGTAATTTTGATAGATGCTTTCTGTGGCGTAAGAGTTAGATGTGTTAACTTCCTCAGGCCTGGATGCAAATTTCAGTTTATTCTCAGTCTGCAATACACAGGGGGGAGGGAAGTCAATACGTTAAGCAGATTTTTACACTACATTCCCAAAACAGACCCAAGTAAAAAGTGAAATGGCTGAAATCAGGACAGTGACATGTAAAGTCACACTACAGTTTACCCTGAATGATGAAATAAATGGGGGAAAAATGGTGGCACTTGAGGATGGAAAGAAATACAGCAGCACAGTGGGGGCCTGGTCCATGCCTCAGGTGCCTATACACATAGTTGCTGCGGTTTTACAGTTGGGTTCAATCATTCTTAATATCCCCCACTATACAAATAGTTCCAGCACCTACTCACTATGATATTACTAACAACCACTACATCATAAATTACCAACCAATTACAGGAAAGAACAAGACCAGTTCAGTTCAGGCCCTGTAATCTCTTGTTCCCTTTCCATATATCACCATTTATGGCAGCAACATTGTACTTGTCTGGGACTATATAAGGTACATCTACACAGTAGCACATACCTTGAAATAAGCTATGCAGCTTGAGCTACACAAATTGTGTAGTTTATTTTGAAATATCTTATTTCAAAATTTGGCACTTTTTACACAGCACTAATTTCAAAATAAATAGCTTATTCTGGCATCTTCCATAATCCTTGAGCAACGAAATTTACAGGAATCCAGAATAAACATAATTTTGAAACAATGGGCATGCTATTAATATGCGCAGAATGCTGTTTTCCTGACATAGCTCCGCTGTGTAGCTGTACCCTATATGATTCAGAAACTGTGGTGGGGTTATTGATAAGGGCTTAGGTCTAATTACCACCTCAGAAAAAAAAATCTCCCTAGATTTTCCTTTAATTCTATGGTAACCTTGTTGTTTTCACAAACATCCCGGAATCACTTCTTTGAATATGGAGATATCTCTTCATTTGTAATGAAAAGCAGTGTAGATAGACAAAGCCTTAGTGAAATGGCTGTGTCACTAAAAGTCAGGCAGTGTAAATGCTGTTTGTCAGCACTTTTGCTGACAAAATACTTCCACCCCCTACAAATGGAGATGGAGTTGTCCGCAGCAGTAGACATGTTAAATGTTGACTAATCAGCTAATCGAGTAATTGATGCAATTTCCATCGACTAGTCGATAACGGGGGTGCTTAATATCCCACTGCACCTCTCTCTTTGAAAATGTACAAGAGCCACCTGCAGCTTTTGTACATTTCAAAAGGAGAGAAGAAGCAGGAACCCATGCCAAAGGGGACTAACACAGTCTCCAATGGCGCAAGTTCTCCTCTGCACCTCTTCCTTTGAGAGGTACAAGAACCGCAGGCAACCTCTCAGGATTTAGCCAGTTTGTTACCATCCTCCATTCTTCACTGTCCACATCAGGTTATTATGTTAAAAATTATGAAGCCTATCTTGCCATCTTGCATAAATTTGTAAATAATTCTCTGGGGGTATGTCTACACTACCCCGCTAGTTTGAACTAGCGGGGTAATGTAGGCATACCTCACTTGCAAATGAAGCCCAGGATTTGAATTTCCGCACAGGGTTCGAACTAGCCGGGATTTAAAAATGGCGGCGCCCGGCTTATGCAAATGAAGCCCGGGAAATTCAAATCCCGGGCTTCATTTGCAAGTGCGGTATGCCTACATTACCCTCCTAGTTCGAATTAGGAGGGTAGTGTAGACATACCCAAGGTTATTAATATGTACAAGTTAAATGAAGCTGCTGTGTAGATAAGGTGACAGAGAGTTACTGTTACTAAACAACAATGGCTGAAACTAGACAGCATGGAGTGAAAAATAAGAACATCTCTTGATGCTGTAATTTTGTAGTGGTAGCGATATCAGTGAAAACCTAAGATTAGATCCTAATTTTACTGAAGCCCATGGGATTTCTTCCCCCCCTTATACGTTTAGTACGTGTTTGCATACTGTATCTATCTATTATGTGGATTGTATTAGAAAGCTTTAAACATTAAGGTCAATATTTAGATTTTAACTATAAAAATCAGAGCGTTCAGATGGCCAGCATCCACAAATACTTTACCTTTTTCTCCTGGAATGAGAAAGCTAAGGCCATGGGGCCTTTCATTATACAATCATGTCACATGGGCCACTGCTATATAATACAGGTTGACAAACAAAACAACATACGAGAAAACAAGTGCTCCTTTTCTATACTTATAGATAAAAACAAAATGCCATGGATGTGCGTCATCTGTTTACTCATGCAGAATCCTATGTGGAGTCAAGGACCCTAGTACATGAGGTCAGAGTTAAGGTTGCCATGGAAACTATAATTCTGATCTCGCTAAAGTGAGTATACTCAAAACCTCAAACTTAAAACTGTATTATCTTGCTAATAAATAATGTATTGATATTTTTATGGCAGATGTTGCATTACATTGCATTTTAAACATTCACAAAAACAGATACAAACATACAAGTCACATTTTCATTAGTATATTGCCATATGGTAACACAAAAAACAGATATTGGCATATGAGGGACAGTGTGAGATCAGATTCATTTTAATGTAACTGGATAGGCCAGTCAAAAATAAGAACAAATTCCACTTACTGTATTTGGCATTGTGGCAGTATTAGCCATTCCAGATAAGGAGGTGGCTGAACCTAAAATAACATCAGATCAAAATTGTTTGATGGGATAACACACACAAATTGATACTTATCATCTGTATTTCCTCTACTATTAATGTAAAAGCTTTTATCTCAACACAGCTGAACTATTTGGCTTAGTTGATAGTTGTACTGTCGCTGTTAGAATTCCTTTATTACCAGCAGGTTTGCAATTGTTTTACTTTCCATTTCTATAACATGTTCAAACACATTAGTAGAAGTAAAAATACGTGCAAGTTAAGCTCACAGATACTAAATTGAATATGATTAGCAAAGGCAGGGGGAACCAAGTTTTGAAATGATCCTTTACTTCTCACACATCAGCAAAGCACCGCAGTGGTATACCATTGATGTCACCCATCAAATTGCTGCAAACAAAATGTCATTGCTGCAATCCTCTGGTGGCAACTGCTTTTGGCAGCTGGCCCCTTCTTCCCCCCACTGTACCCTACCTTCTCTATTCCTGCCCACCTTGTCTCTATTCAGACTCACCTGTCACCAGCACCCACCCCTCCGTTGGCCCTGCCTCAACAAATACATCTACAATGTAATATGTCGGGGGGAAATCATTTGAATCGCCTTCAGTGGGGAAGTAAAACTAGATAAGCAGTAATTCTGGAAAAGAAGAGTAAATTAGGTCCCTCTATCTCTCAAATACTACTCCACGTACTTCCCATTTCACCCAGCCTTCCTGCTAGGGTACTTGTGCCCCTATGGTCCATCTGCTTTTACACTACTCAAGCTACCGCCTATTTTCCAGCTGCTACAGCTACCTCCCATTCCAACAAGCACCTCCCCACTCCTTTGGTGCCAATTGACCCCTTCCCCTCTGTCTCCTATTCCAGTCATACCCCTGCAACCAATCGACTTAATTCCCATCAATACCAAAGCATAGTCACAAATTAGATTCCGTCCTCCATACAAATATATTCAGTACGGATCTAATGTATGTTGAAATCTGCTAGACATGTCAGTGATGAGGTACATTACTGACTCTGCATGTTTACAAGGAAATGTGATACTGGAGACTTTTCACCCCCTGAGAAGCAGCAAGTGACTTAAGTTCCAAATGGCTTACCTCTGCATTTTAAAGTCCGGTATGAAATCAGAACAATAACTGCAACAGCAACACATGAAGAGGTGCTTATCAGGAAATAATAGAGAGTGGGCGAAAGCGTCACATCTGCAGAAAACTCTGCAAAGACACCGAGATGATGAAAGTTACAAAGCCTGTTGGCGAAATCCACAGATTATGTAACTAGTGGACTTTACCTAAGCTAGGAAATGGGGAGTTCCCCCTCTGCTCTTAGGATGTATAAAACAGACAGTTCACACACACCTGTAGCCAGTTTATTACAATCTCTCACATTAGGCTCTCATGAAGACTAGACAGACACCTGACACAATGTATTAGGCAGACATCTTCCTGGAGCCCCAGAGACAGTGGACTGTCCTTTTGCTTCACCTGAAACCCTGAAGCAGCCAAAAGAGCTGAGGGCTGGCCTCTGTTTAACTGATACATAAGAGGCGCAATTGTGAGAGTTCCACTGCACTCCTCTCCCCCGAGGATGTTTTAGGATCCAGGTCCTGAAGGGGGTGCTCTGTCAAGCACAGGTTTGTGACCAAGGGTCTTCTGTTGTCCACTGTGTTGGGAGTTTGTCATGGGGACACCTGGCCATCTCATTCACAGAGACACAAACAGCAAGTGGTGACCTCTTTCTGAAGGCTGAATTTGCTGTGGGACTGCATCCTACATATTGCCACATTCAAGCATTGGACAAATACCCTTGTGACGATAGATAGCAGCTGTATCAGGTGAGCCCAAAGGAAATGTCTCATGGCTGAGCCAGTAATAAGGGTCTGTGCTAAGCTGATCTTTCTATTAGGCTTAGACAAAATTCATCACGTAGGGTTCAACTTCAAAACCCACTTGCAAAGATCAGTATGACAAATTGGTGGCTACCTAAGACATGGTGGCTGTCCCCAGTGATTACAACAGGAGGAGGAGAAAGAGCATTGTGGGGGAGCACCAAGGCCCATTACAACAACTTCCCTCTATATTACTCTAGACATTCTAAAGAAAGATGAGGATAGAAAATGCCACTTTTATCTATTGTTATAGAATGTTTCTTTAGAGCTTTATCCACAGAAAGGTTCAGGGAAGCACATTACTCAACAAAGTTTCCTAGCCCTCACCTTTTGCACTGGCAGTTGTCTGAATTGACAAAAGTACAGAAGCACAGGGAATTACCATAAAGCTGATCCCTGTTAAAAAGACGTGGTACTCACCTGGTGACAGTTCTATGGTCTGATTCAGGGCTGGATGGGTAACTAAGCAGGTCACATAGGCATTGGTGCTATTGATCAGAGATAATCTGCTGAGTATGGTCACTGTTCCATTGGTGTGATGAGTTTTGTTCTCAGTGCTGTGACCACTCCCTTGTGCCCATGAGATTTCTCCAGCTGGTTTCCCTGCAGATGCCTGGCACACAACAACCTCATTACTTTCATGAGTCAGAGTCACCACAGGAGGGACTGCGGAAGAGCAAGGAAACAGTTGGATTTGGTTTTACTGCAGCAGGCAAAAATGTCCCTACCAAGGCCTTCAAAATTAACTAGCAATTTTTGGGTGCCCAAACTGAGATACCGTGAAGGGGCTAGATTTTCAGAATGTGCTACACTCCCACCCTCTTCAAAATCCAAACATCTTAATAGGGGCATAAGTTGCACAACCAAAATCTCTAGTTACTTTTTGAAATTCTTGCCCCCTTTGTTTTGTACATGAAAGTCACAGCAAAAATTGGAGCTGATGATGATGATGATGGCAGGAGGGGAGGCAGCCAGAGGAAAGACAAAAGACTTTCCATGACCGGCAATTTTTAAATTAAGATTGGATGCTTTAAAAAAAAAAAAAAAAAAAGGTCTTCTCCAGTTCAAATAGCAATTATGTCAGGGAGTTATAGAACCCATATTATACAGAAAGTCCAACTAGATGAGTGGGTCTTTCTGACTTCAGAATCTACAACTACTACAAGGGGAATGACTATCTGTTAGCAAAACACAGACTGGAGAGAACACAGCAAGGTGAAATCAGAGCTGGAATTTTTCTGAAGAAATACAGAGGAAGCATGAAGCATTTGACAGTATGAAAGGGAAGTGGGCGGAGTTCAAAAGCTTGTGTCTCTCATATCCTGGGAAGAACACAGCTACAACAAGACAACAAACATGAATTACGATGGTGATTATATATTAAAATCTCCTATGATCCCCTTCTAATATCACCAAATCTTGCCCAATTTGACTGGAATACAGAGGCCTTGACAAGGACAGAATGTTCTGGAAGTTCAAGAAAGACAAAATCTGTAGCTTCTGAAAAAGATCGGTAAGTTTCCTAATGCTATCCCCCCTCCATACACACACACAGACCTCTTGAAAATGGGTTGACTAATAAAAATTCTAGTGAACTAGCTTTCACTTTTGGGGGGGTGGAAGAGTGAGTAAACTAAACATTTTGGTCAAATCCCAAAGTTCTTACTTTGTATTCAGTCCTTACTTGTCAAGGGATGTTTTGACTTTCACTGAAAGTTTTGTCTGAGCAAGGCTCATTCCCTCAGCCAGTGAAAACTTGATCATGTTCCATTTTGCATATGCTAATGGTGCACTCTCATGCCTGTGTAAATTCTGGCATAGCATATGAGTGCTGTGTTGCTGCCTCCAAAAGCCTGTATTAGATTTGCCATACCAGATTCAATATAGACTGTTGCTTTAGCAAGCTGCCCTCAGTACCTCTCAAACCCTCCCCGGGTACCTACCTTTTTTACAGTCTGCAAAAAAGTATCACTTCTCCATAAAACTCCCTGCAACCATCACACAAACCCTCATCCCTGCACTCCCTCTATGAGCAGCCAGTCTGCTTGCCCTCAACACAGGAGGATTAACTTGCAAAATTAAAATTCTGAGTGCTCTCATTGAAGAGTTCTCTAATGCCTTATTTTCAGCATCACTGTGCATGGAGAAAAAGGAGGGAACGTTGTCCTTCAGAGCTGAATCAGGTAATTTTTTAAATAAAAAAAAAGAGAGACAAGTTGTTTCTTACCTAGCACAATGAGAGCAGACACTTGGTCCAAATTCCCATCACTAGTTGCAATTTCACAGATGTAATTACCCTCATCAGCAAGTCTCACAGGGTGAATCTGAAGGGTAGGGTCATGGGCAGGGTAAGATTCCCAAGTAATCCTCTTAGTGCAGTTTGTTCTGTCTGTCTTGGTATCAGCTCTATGTGCCAATAAGCAGTGACTTCCATTCTTTGGTCTTATGTGCCATACTACCAAAATCAGAGAAGACACTGAGATATTGGGGCATCTCAGCACAGCCTTGGTACCCACCACTGCAGACACTGTGTTGTCAACTACATGGGAAGAAGAGTGGAATTGAAAAAGTCATTTGAGCTGTCCTTATAGTTTATGGCATTTTTAGTTTCATTGAGATGGAACATCTCTGCACTTACCCTGCATTGAAACCTCTCCCTGCATTAGATCCTCAACCTTCTCTTTACTGTATGGGATATGGTTTAAAAATTAGCAGAAAACCTGAGATATGCCAAAGTGACATCAGTTCTCAGGACTGAGTTCACTAGTCCCATCTTCTATGGAAGCACCTTGCTACTGTAGATCCCAGGCCAACATTTAAAGACACTGTGAAATTGGAGCCTGACTCCACTTACTTACTTGTGCTCAAGAATTTCTCCAATGGGCTGGCAACTCTGTTACTAGTGCTCTGTGCTACCACATAAAAAAGGTGTGTTTATTTTCCATGCCCAGTCTCCTGCTTGCCTAGCCATCAGGAATTGGGTGTGTTGCAGACACTGTGCCTTGCAGTGATTTATACTGATTCACCGAGGTGAGCTAAAAGTCAATATGGAAGCCTCTACAGTCAAGGAATTTTGATCTTCTTGATAGATGGCTTTGAGAAAGGGTGTGTGGGGGAGGAGGTGAATCACTCAAGCATGGAAGGAAATTCCTCAGGGGGCCTGGTTACAAAACAGCTAAAAACTGTAATATAGATGGAACCTAATCACAGCTTGTAGCAATCTTAAACCCCCCACCCTCCCATCGCCCACAGCATTAGTGCAGCTACAAGGACACAGCTAAGTTTGTAACTGCAATTTTCAACCCTGAAATTGCATTAAAGTCATACTAAAGATGGGATCTTCATGTTATCGGTGCTGTATTCCTATCCAGGAGCACCTCCTTGTGGCAGTTCAAGAGGGCAGAAAGATTGTGTTTAAACCTAATTCATATCACTCTTCTGCTTTCACATTAAGTAGTAGTATTACTCCAGTCTTGGCCAAATCTGTGTCGTTCCTCCTTGTCAGTTTTAAAGTATTTATCAGACTATATTGAAAGAGCTCTGAAACTCAGGGGCTGTGTCTAGACTGGCCAGTTTTTCCGGAAAATCAGCCGCTTTTCTGGAAAAACTTGCCAGCTGTCTACACTGGCTGCTTGAATTTCCGCAAAAGCACTGACTTCCTACTGTAAGAAATCAGTGCTTTTTGCGGAAATACTATGCTGCTCCCGTTCGGGCAAAAGTCCCTTTTGCGCAAAACTTTTCTGCAAAAGGGCCAGTGTAGACAGCTGAGATTTGTTTTGCGCAAAAAAGCCCCGATCACGAAATTGGCGATCGGGGCTTTTTTGTGGAAAAGCGCGTCTAGATTGGCCATGGACGCTTTTCCGCAAAAAGTGCTTTTGCAGAAAAGCATCCTGCCAATCTAGACTCTCTGTTCCGAAAATGCTTTTAACGGAAAACTTTTCCATTAAAAGCATTTCCGGAAAATCATGCCAGTCTAGACGTAGCCAATGTGTTACATTCATTTAATGATCTTTCCCACTTACCTGGCCCTGGAACCACCTTCATTAGGAAAAGAAAAAGCTCAGCAAGAATTGGCCACATCTGGGCCATCTGCTAGGAGGGGCTTAGGGCAAATGGCACAAAATGAAAGGAATGGCAATAACTTGGAATCGCAGATCAATATGTAAATTCTCTCCAAAAATAACCCTGTTTTGAGAAAAAAGCAACATTTACAACATGAAACATCAACTTCCCTTAAATACAAATGTTCTAGAAAAGACTCTTTGAAAGGTCATTTCAGATATTTTTTCTGACTGCCCCTCAGCAAAGGTCAGGCCCACTGAGGGGAGGGGCAAAGGGAACAACTGCCCTGGAACCCAGCGATTCAGAAAGGGTTTCAGGGCTCCTGGCTGACACTGCATCAGCACCAGTGTTGGCCAGAGCCTTTTAAATTGCTGCCGGACCCCCAAGCAGTGTACACTGGGTGGCACTGGAGGCTGCTTGTGGGAGGTGTAGCCACCTACTACACACCTTTCCCAGCAGCCTGACCAGCAAGCCCAACCGCCACTGTGGGCTTTGGGGCAAGGTATTGCTTGGGGGGCTGGCTCCGCACCTCTGGAAGGGTGGGACCAACAGCTGAAGGAGTGGGGCTGAGAGCAGCTAGCCCTTAACGCCATTCAGACCACAGTCTTTGCACAATCAAGGAGTTGGCCCGTTAGTTCATCATGACCGCAACTTTGGCTTAGGATGTTTTATGAAGCATTGATCAATATGGACTCACTATGGCTTCCAGGCACTACCGTAATACAAGTCAACTTGTTAGTGTGTTTGTTCTGAAAAGACCTTTTGTTTTGAAATACAAAGATAAATATTTAAGCACAGAGTGTTCAGTTTACCTTAATTCCAGAATCACACAGATCTGCTGCTTCAGCCACTTAGATGAGAGAATCTTAAAGTTGCAAGTGTTTTTCTTAGAATGAGGGGAAGTAAAAAAATACTTTAAAAGAACAATGGTTCATCTCCCCTGAACCATTGTAACCTTCTTCTCTTCATCTTTGCTCTGCAATCTTTGCTCTAATCACTTTACGGCAGCTAATATAATTTTCTTCAGCTCCCTAGCTTCCTCAGCTGTGACTTCCTGTCTCTTCTGCCCAACATGCAAAAATGTTCTCACACTTCTCATCAGGAATGAACTGGTTTGATTCAATGGCAGCTGAACACAAAAATGCTTGTTTGGAAACTTTTATGATATATTCTGATTTTGGGCAAATTACCATCTCTCATTTTTAAAGATTCTATATAGCTCCGCTCAGTCTGAAATTCATCTCCCTTCACTCTCACAATTCACCTCTGCCCTCTCTTCCTGCCTTGTCAGGATCGTAATTTCATGAAATTAAGACATTTTCCCAGGGAAACTTTACTGTAAAGTTTGAAAAACTTTACATTTTCTTAAAAAAAAAATCAGTTTTGTTGGAAAACTTTGACCCTCTCTAATCCTTGCTCTCATCCTTCATATGCCGCCCTATGCACACTTTTTTCCTTACTTTCCACTATTGAATACCAAATGCACAGGCCATTTTTGTCAATTTCAGTCATAAGATTTTTTGAAAATTGTAAATTTCATTATTTCAGCTATTTAAATCATGAAATATGGTCTTTTGTGTATTTTTACCCTATGCTATGCTGATTTCACAGGGGAGAGGAGTGTTTCTCAAATTGGGGGTCCTGACCTACAAAGGAATGGGGGGGGGTCCACAAGATTATTGTACAGGGGAGGGTTGCGATATTGCAATCCCTGCTTTTATACTACTACAAGTGGCAGTGCTGCCTTCAGATTGGCAGCTACAGGCCAAGAGCCTAGCTCTTAAGGCAGAGGCACCGTCAGCATCAACACAGATGTAATAAGAGTATGGTCTGATATTGCAGGCCTGTAGACAGGAATTCCCCTCACCCCTGGCCTCGCTCCTCTGGGGGAGGGGAAATCAGGCCCAGCCTTCCACTCAGCCAGTCGAAGCACGGGAGAGGGAGTCTGAGCCTCACACGTACTTGGAGGACCATGGGAGGGTGCATTCGCACCCTTCTCACTCCACTAGATACAGGCCTGTATTTCCATCTTTAATTCTGCGCTGGGGCTTGCAGCGCTTGGCTCTCCGTCAGCAATCACCATTAACACCCCCCCCCACACACACACACACACACCAAGCTCTGAAGACAGCAGCACGGAAGTAAGGGTGGCATGTTATTGTATTGCCCATTACATCTATCCTGCTGCTAGCAGGACACCACCTTCAGAGGTGGACAACCAGCCAAGAGTCACCACTCTCCAGCTGCCCAGCTCTGAAGACAACACAGAACTAAAAGTGACAACATTACAACCTCCAAAAATGACCCATTGAACCCCCACATTTTTTGTTGTAACACTCATTTTCCATTCCCTATCACGCGTTCGTTTAACTTCACAGCCTACAGTTGTCTAATTTAGGACTCAATACTGCAAACATTTGTATCCATGCGTATGATGTTAGTGGGACATGGAGCCAGGTCTGCCAGTGGGGAGGAGGGGTAATAGGGGCAATTTTCACCCTAAGTGAAAGCAACATTTACAACATGAAACTAAACAATTTTCTAAAGGCCCTGGACTCCTGGCTTCCATCACTACCACAGTGACCTCGGACACTTTAAATTTCCACAGGAGTGCTACGTAGCACACTTGAGGCAGGTTTAAGGGCTAGGGAGGCATGGTGGAATCCTGGCTAACCCTGCTCCTGGCT